AGAAATTATGAGCAAAATAATAAATAAATAAATAAACAAATCAATAAAGGTGGAAGCATAACACTACCTGAAAAATGCTCAGCATCACTAATCATCAGAGAAATTTAAATTAAAACATTTTTGAGATATCATCTCTCATGAGTTATACTGGCTATAATAAAAAAGACTGAGGGCCGGCCTGGTGGCGCACCAGATAAGTGCGCCGCTTGGGTAGCGCGGCGGCGCTCCCGCCCAAGGGTTCGGATCCCACATGCAGACCGGTTCCCGCTCACTGGAATAAAAAATGACTGAGAATATAAAATGCTGGTGAGGATGTGGGAAATGGTGAATTCTTCTACACTGTTGGTGGTACTGAAAATTAGTACAGCCACTATGGAAAACAGTATGAAGTTTCTCAAACAACTACAAATAGAACTGCCATATGATCCAGAAAGGCCACTTCTGGTTACATACCCAAAGGAATGGAAATCATCACGTTGACTGGATTCCCGCACTTCCATGTTCCTCACAGCTTTATTTTCAAAAGCCAAGATATGGAGCCAACCTAAATGTCCATCTATGTATGACTGGATAAGGAAATTTTGGTATATATACAGAATGGAATATGAGTCAGCCATTAAAAAGAATGAAATCCTGACATTTTTAGCAACATGGATGAGCTTGGAGAAAATTATTTTAAGTGGAATTAGCCAGATACAGAGGGAAAAATACTGCTGGTCCTCACTGAGAATTGGGAGCTAAGAGAGAAAAGAAGTAAGGAAAGAAATACTGTAGCGGTATGTTGGACTTATAGAGGGAGAGAACAGACCTAGGGTTGCCAGGAGTTGGGGGGAGAGGGGAGGAGGAGAGAAGGTTGGGGGAGAGAGGGTAAGGGGATTGGGGTAAGGTTGGGTGGGGGACATGGGGAACAATTGCAATTTGAGGTGGTGGGCATGCTGATAGCACTGATCTTATCACCACAGAAGTGCTTTAAGGCCATATCTTGAGAAAACCATTTTCCAAGTATGTTTGAAATAATAGTGCACCAGGTTTCTGGTTCAAAATGATGAACTGAATACATACGTACCCTCTTATTAAACCCAAGCCCCCACTGAAATTAAAATATAGAAATCCAAAGGTATACAGTCCAATGGAAGCAAAGGAAAGGAAGATGAGGAACACAAACTGCTGACACATTTCAAGAAATTTATGAAAGAATCAAGATGTAGGGGAGCATGTTGATAGGAGGAAAATGCAAAGAAAAGTATACCTCAAAGTATTCTCTCAGGGAACGCTAGAGGAGACAGGGGGAAACTATGTAATGGAATGCCTGAGAAGCTGCAAAATACTGTATTTCTGCAAAATACAGTCTGTGACAGAGGTGGGGAAGTACAGCCTGAAAGCAAGGGGATTGACTGGAGATCTGTTTGTGGAGCTATTGTACCAGCCAGCAGTCTTCCTGACACAAGCCCCCACCTCTTCTGCAACAATGGGCAACTTGGCATTCACCTCTCAATAGGTAGTATGATCCTTTCTAAAGAAATGAATGGGTGTCTAGGACCTCATAGGGGTAGGTGGCATTTACAATATGACATAATAGTGTCCTCATTCTGACATTTGAGGAACTTACAGTCTAGTAGCCTCTTAGTTGACATTTCTTGCTTTTCCTCACATTGAGCTCCAAGAAAGTATTTCCACTCCAGGCAAAGACTTGGCAGGAATGAAATTGATTTATAAAACAGCCCAGGAATCCTATAGCAGCTTGTCAATCTTTCTTCCTTAAGTATAAATGGAAAATTTAGCATCATAAGGCATATCAGAAACACCAAAACAAAAGACCAAGATAAGTCTATAGAAAAGCTAATCTCAGAGTAAAGAGATAAACCAAGAAAAATAACTTTAAAAAATGCAAATGATATATTCAGAGAAGTTGAAAATATATTACACCAAGATAGGAAGAGTCAGCCATGAAAAGAAAATCAGAGTATAAAAAAGAGTTCCTAATGATTAAAAACATGACTACTAATATTTTTTTAAAGGGGAAAATTAGAGTATAAAAAAGCTCTCAAAGACTAAAAACATGATTTATGAATCATAAATAGAATTGTGATAGAATTGTTGAACAATAAAGTCAACGGTACTTCTCAAAATGTACAACAACAATGACCATGAGGTAAAAAGAAAGAAAATATGATTAAATAAATGAGAGATGTGACCACTTAAAAATCCCTAATATCCAACTGATAGGGGTTTCAGATAGAAAAAATGAAAGAAAGAGGCAGGGAGGAAGTGATTAAAGGCAGAAAATTTCTGGCACACAAGCCATTAGACTGAGAAAACAAATCACAGCTTATCACACTGCTTATGAAATTTCAGAAAAATAATGTGTATAAGGTAAGGAGAGAAAAAAAAAAAAAAACAGCTTACTTATATAGGAATGTGGGTCACACTGTCATCAGCCTTCACGTCAGCAATGAGTACTAGAAGACAATGAAATAATGTCTTAAGGCTCTGAGGAAAATGATTTTTCAACCTAGAGTGTTACACCCAATGGAATTATCATCCAGACACAGAGAAGTTGGTCAAGTGCTCTATAAATTTATCTCCCATGGATCCCTCTTTTAGGAATTTACAAAGGAATGTACTACAAACACATGAGAACATAAACCAAATGAGAGCATACATCAGACTACAAGATATCCAACTCAGAAAGCATAGGAGTAATCCTACAGGACAGAGGTAGAGAGTAAGGCCTGGAGTAATCACAGCCGAATAAAGCAGGACAGTAGGGCTCCAGGGGGCTGTCCCCAAGGGTAAAATAAGGTCACTTAAATAGATTAGATAGAATAATTGACAGGTTTGAAGAACTTAAGGGCATTCTAAAGTCTAAAAGAGAGAAAAGAAAGGCAACTAGAAATCCAGAATACAGGACAGAGGTAGAGAGTAAGGCCTGGAGTAATCACAGCCGAATAAAGCAGGACAGTAGGACTCCAGGGGGCTGTCCCCAAGGGTAAAATAAGGTCACTTATATAGATTAGATAGAATAATTGACAGGTTTGAAGAACTTAAGGGCATTCTAAAGTCTAAAAGAGAGAAAAGAAAGGCAACTAGAAATCCAGAATAAGAAAGCTGTGTAATAAAACATGCATGGTCCAAATATGAAGCAGCAATAAAATGTAAAGTATTAAGCAATTAATGGGGTGGGAAAAACCTCATCTTTTCACCTTAAGGCTAAGGCCTTTTCCCCATGAGTGGCTCAGAAGTTGCCAGCGAGATCTCACAAGATGTAATGCATGCTTAGATTAAACAGTCGAAAACAGTTTCATAGAAACATTAGATTTTATATTTAGTATGAAATAAATATAGAATATCAACCATATATGGAGTATACAACCAAATGCATAACACAACTCGGGCTTACAAGTGGATAGAGATCATATAAAGGAGTTGGAAAATGCTGGCAATCTGTATGTTAGATGACCTTTTATACTATTTCATCACATTTTAGAGTTTGTCATAGCATTCCTTAAAGGTATATTCAATAATAATAATAATAATAATAATAATAATAATAATAATAATAATAATAGTGTGTCTTAGCTAGCTCAAGCTGTGGTAACAAAATATCGTAGACTGAGTGGCTTTAAAAACAGAAATTTATTTTCTCACAATTCTGGAGGCTGGGAGTCTAGGCTCATCGCACCAGCATGGATGCATTAATGGTTTCTGCCTTCCCTCTGTGTGCACACATGGCCTCTTCTTTGTACAAGCCCAGGGTAAGGGGAGGGAGAGAAAGCAAGCTCTGTGGTGTCTCTTCTTATTAGAGCACAAATCTTATCATGAGGGCTCCACCCTCATGAACTGATCTAATTTTAATTACTTTTCAAAGAGCCCGTCTGCAAATCCTACCACATTGGGGGTTAGGGATTCAACATGTGAATTTTGGAAAGACACAGACATTCAGTCCATAACATGTATGTTTAACATTTTCATATACCTATAATTTTATAAGAAAAATATTACTGGCATCATTTTAAGAAATGAGAATATTTCAAAACTAGTATGCTGTGAGACACCATCTGAAATGGTGTTTTAGCATAATTTTTAAAACAATCAGAATTAGATTCCCCTATGTATTTTTAAAGTTATTTTTAGTCAAGTCTGCCCTTAATTTATATTGCTGAATTTATAGATATATACAGTGTTCTGTCTTTATCCATCTGCTTAAGTCACCATAGTTTGATTTTCACTACAACCTTGAACCAGTTGGCTTAACTTAGTACTACATTTGAGTGTTAAACTTGAGAACCAGTGTTATTTTTGTGATTTTATTCGCAAACGGTTTTTACTGCAAGCATGCTGAAAATAATAGTTTAAAATATAAAATATTTTTTAGAAGTTAAAAGTTGATTTAAGAGCACATTAATATATTTTTAAACTGAATTTTTAGAAATCAATGTATTTTGAAGCATGGTCAGAGATTTAGCATACAATTTTAACATTACATTTTTTGATATATTTTGATAGGCAAAACGTTTAATATAACTTAAAACAATATAACTTAAAATAGCTACTAAAGTTATAAAAACTTTGTCCTGAAGAATATTTCAGAAATAGATTTGTTCATTGCCTGTTACACTGAAAGTGCTTGTCACTTATATATTCTTTTATGTTATATAAGTTTTAGAGAAATAATTCTGCTAAGTGAAAATTTAGTATGATCTTATTAATTAAAATGTACTTAGCAGGAATATATCCTTGTAAAGATAAATACAATATAACTGTCAATTTACTATCGACTGATAATTTTATTCCATAATTAGATTGTTATAAGTGCTAAATTTTGGGGCCAAGAAAATTACCATTAATATTCTAGATCTAATCCTTAGGTGTATTTTTATGCTAAGAGTATTGAGCAAGGTGGGGTGGGGTGGGTAGTTTCTCTTTGACTGGGATGCTGAGGCCTCTAAGCCTCATGTTTTGTTGTGGTTTCCATATGACGGTTGTCTTGTTCTTTCCAGGTGATGATGCAAAGGAAGCAGTTAAACATGGTTTGGACGGGATCTTGGTGTCCAATCATGGGGCTCGACAACTTGATGGGGTGCCAGCCACTGTGAGTTTCAGTGAATGTTGGGATTTCTCTTTGAAGTTCCCATTTCCATCACAACTTTGACTGTCTCTATGTATACCTCTTTTGTATGTATATTTTATGTGATTATTCAAGGTGAAATATGTGTGAATATGTGAGATCTCAGATTTTAAGTTTAGTGGCTCATAACTATCTAAATTAGTTGATATATTTATTTTTAATTAGCACAATACATTTATTTGTAAACTTATGAAAGTCAATGTTAAATAATAGCACATTTGCAGGTAGGGATTATTCTTGTATTCGTCGATACATATTGGTGAATAGATATAATGTAAACTGGAGTATGAAAAAAAAATTATGTGATTCGAGTCCAAAAAAGATGAGCTAGTGGACAATTGTGGGGTTGCAAAGGCTTCAGTGAAGTTTTTGAGATCATCAGTACAATTGTGACAAGAACTCAGGAGCAGGGACAGACTGGAATTTCCTGTAGAGGTGGGGGTTGAAAAGCTGCAGAGTAGGATGGGGGTGAGAAAAAGAGATAGAGGTCCTCTGGCTCAGGTGAGGGGAAGTTGGCTGCAAATAGGCTACTATGATTGAGTTGTGAACTGCCTTGGGCTGCACATTCTTTAAAGTTCACCCAGGGAACTTCATACCCAAGCTGCACTCCAGATCAATTCATCAGAATCTCTGGGGATAAGGTGGCACAGGCACCAGTATTTTTCAAAGCTACCGAGGTGATTCCAGCATGCATCTATGGTTTTTATACACTGTATACACTGTCACAGGCAAATCAGAGTCTAGAATCTAGATGCAAAAGTAAGCTAAACTTGCCTGAAAGTTGAGGGGCTGAATTAAAACTGTAACCGAGAGCAATTAGCCCCAAGGGGGCTCAAAGCTGAGGAAACCAACAGAGGCTCTGGGGTAGATTCTAAGATCAAGGATTGGGAGATCAGAAATGGATCAAAAGTCATGGAGACAGACACATATCCTGGGATGCACTGCATGGATTCATGATGCAGACTGGGGTTCAGGAGCTGTGTGTGGGTGTTAAAAGTTGGTTTCCTTACATGCTCTCCACTTGAGGGGACTTGGCCAAGGTTCTTGCAGACAGAGCGGTGATGTTGCTGCTGCCTTTTACCTCTGCTTTGTCTGCATTCAAACCCAGATTTTTATAGTTGTGAGCCTAAAGGTGGAATAGGAAGTAGTGAGATGTGCTTGGGGAATACCAAAGTAATCCATCTTGTTTGTGGTGCCTGGTAAGAGTGGGGGAGTCCTGGGAAATACACCTGCCTGGATAGGTAAAGGAAGAGGTTCTTGAATACTATGAGTCATTAGATGTGCAGCAGAAGAGCTTTGGTTTAGTAGCAATGAGTTCCAAATTGGATTTTGGCCTGACAAGAGGCAGGAAGACCAATTACATGTCCTTGACAATTACCATAGTCAAGGAAAAAGAGGAGGGATGAACTGCTGAGGAGAAGAGGGAATCAATTTCCGGTCTAAATCTTGGTTTCTCATCTTTTGAAGTTTAAATATCAGATTATTTCTTCTGTGTCTTTAAAATGTAACATTTGATAATTTGATTTATCACAGGCAAAGTAAACTGATACCATATAACAAAATTAAAAATAACTTATTCACTAAATACTGTGGAAGAACTTTCCAGATCACGACCTCTCTCTGAAATGGATCATCATGTATATTTCCCTTCCTTTATCAGAACTATACAGTCATTGTTATATAGATGGCTGTAACTGGGATGACCAGTTGAATTTATTCAAACAACTGGAAGTCAAGTAGAACAAATCATTTAGCCCATTAGTAGTGGATTATTATTTCATTGAATGGGCAGGCTGATTTAGCTAAATCTGTAGTGCACTTGTGTGGGTCTTATGGCAGAGTAAATGGTGGCAGGGGAATACTGGGTGTGCCTATCACACTCACAGTTTTCCCTAAAGCACTAATGGTAGGAACCAACCAAGTCTTTGTACACTGTAGGATTGTACAGTCAAGAATTTAAAATCATAAAACTGGAACTTGTCAACTTGTCAGCCCTTTTCAGCTCAAGCTTTACTCCTAGAGACGCATCTTAGTAGGTGAGATTAAATGTTGCCTGCAGGTAAATAGAGGTGAAGAGGGGAGCCCTCCTCTGAGCAGGGTGGAGAAATTGGTCACTACTCTGGGCTCTTAGATTTATGCCTCACTTGTGTATGAAGACATAGACTTAGTGTGCAGGCCAAATTAAGTTTGTTTTCTAAAAATAAAATATAAATCTACTGAAATCAAATCTAAATAGATTTTAGGGGAAAAATATCTAACTGGTGTGGTTTATTTCCCTTTGGCTGAGGGGATATGGAAACTTACCTAAAAGGGCTTTTTGAGTTGCGGTCTCTTAGACTGTTTAAGAAAAACAATAACCCTCCCCTTTGCACACAGTGTGCATGAGAGGAGATACCTCACACTTTAGAGCAAATTGAAGGCCCGTGATGATGAGAGAAATGTGAAGAAGGATTTGGTTTATGGGGAAAAGTGTTTTCTCTCAGTGTGTGGGCTTTGAGGTGAAAGGCCACAGGCTTGAAGGAGGCTGTGGTGTAGAGTGTCTCAGTAGATGCACAGAAGGACTTGCTGGCCTGCAGATTCTATGACATCATTAGTCAGAGCCACAGAGGCAACATGATGTCATAGGAAGAGCACTGAAATGGGAGTCCTGGGTTGGAGTCCTTGTCTTGGCTCTCTTAAGAGCTGAGTTAGGTGAGCAAGTCAGACTTTTAAGCCTGAGCCTCTTCATAGTGTTGTCTTGGCAGCAAAAAGTAAGTGGCTGGACTCTATGATGACAACATTTCTACAAATCACAGGGTTTCCTTTATGGAGAAAAACTTTTCCCTGGGTATCCTAGAACAGGAATTTAACTTCAGTTCACCTTAATACATTGCTTCTGAGATCTTCTACCCGACCTCTCCTGTAGCCAAAAGGAGTGAAAAGTAAGATCTTGTCAAGATCCTGCCTTCATGGTAATAATGTCACCCAGATTGGCCTTGAAGTGATCAGAGAATAATATGATAGAATTAAATCAATTTCTAAAATCCATAGCACTAGAGCTTCTCAAACTGGGATCTAAAGACAGATTCTCTGGAGTGCTTGAATACTAGGAACATTTTTGTTTTTCAAGTTTGCATTTTTGTTTTGATGCTAACTAGACCCAAACTACCTTAAGCTTAAAAATATGATGTTCTTTTCCAGTGAAAATTCTCAACTGAAGAATATTTTTACAGCATAAGTATTTAGGTTAAGTCAGTGTTTCCCAGATTGAGTCCTTGGGCATGTTCTGTGAGATCTAAGAGACTTTTTTTGTTTAAAAAGAAGTCCATGAAATTCCATCTTTGACAAACCCTTGATGTATCAGTATAAGTCAGTGTTTCCCAGATTGAGTCCTTGGGCATGTTCTGTGAGATCTAAGAGACTTTTTTCGTTTAAAAAGAAGTCCATGAAATTCCATCTTTGACAAACCCTTGATGTATCAGTAGGCTTTTGCTGTATAACAACCACTCTGAAACTTACTGGCTAAAAAAGCAGTAGCCATTTATTCATTTTACAGTTTTACAGGATGGGAATTTTGGCTGAATCTTCTGGTAGGCTTTTCTGGTTTGGGCTGGGCTCACTCATATGTGCCTTCAGTCAGCCGCTGGGTCTGCTAGGCCAGGTTGTGTAGAATGAGCTCAGCAGGGACAGCTCGGCATTGTCTCACACCTTCCAGCATGCCAGCTGGGATGGTTCTCATGAGAACACTAGAGAGTAAGTGGGAGCATGCCAGGCTTCCTGAGATCTAGGCTTAGAACTGGCACACTGTCACTTCTACATTCTCTTGGGGAAAGCAAATCACAGGGCCAGTTCAGATAGAAGGGGTGGGGAAACACAGTCTCCCTCATGTGCTCCCCACCCACACCTTCCATGACCTTGCAAGTAAATGAAGACAGTAGCCATTTTTGCAGTTGCAAACACTCAGCTATGGACCAGTGATTTTCTAAGTGTGCTAGTAGAAACCTCCCAGGGCTATCTGGTGAACTGTGATAGGTGGACTGGTGTAGAAAGTCATGGGAGAATTTATGGGTAGTGAGCAGCTCTGGTTTTATCTGTTTTTGTTTATGTTCAACTGCTTTGGTTTGAGCAAAGGGTTTCATACCTAAAATATCAGAAATCAAGAGTATAAAACGGATGCTACAGTAAGATAGAAAGGTAAGAGCTCCCTGTGAGTAGAAGTTTTGGGGAGTAGACAGCTAGCATCCTGGAAGAGTGAGATTTGAACAAGAATGGGAAAGAAGATTCTCTTTTTCTCTGGGGGATTTTTTTTCACATCCTTGTGGGATTTTTTTCATATCCCTTAAACTGCCTGGCATAGTGCATTGAATATACCAGACTCTCAATAAAGTGTTTGATAAATCAGTGAAGAGAGAGATGAATGAGCACAGTATATAAGGATCTTACTACGTTTTCCAGGAGATGAATTCCAGGGGAGTTAAGCCCATGATTAGTTGTTTAAAAAAGCACTAAGGAAAGAACAGCTGAAATGAATGGCCTCCGAGATGTGTAGCAAGCTGAAAAGAAGGAAACATAAACAGGGCCATAACATAGTAGGTTTGTCTACTATATTTATACTTTTAATATGCTCCGATCAGAATTATTTTACATAATATACACCTAGGAAAACTAGAGCTACTGAAAGAAAAAGGGGAGGATAGAAATGCTCAGCAACAGATGGAGTATTCTTGTCCACAGACACCTAAAACACGGATCTGAGCTCTGTTATATTACCCAGGATTCACATTTTAAGTACCCTTATTAGTTTACTTGTAGGCCAGGTTAGAAATTGGAAATAACCTGAACAGACTTGATTTATATGACTTTGAAAATGTGTATTGAACCCAAGCTAGCTAATATTTTTCTTTGGTTCTGGTTTCAAATGGGGAAATATGCTTAATTATAGCTTGCATCATGGCTTGGAAATTGTAGCATTTATATGTTGATGTAACTTGCTTGAATGTAAAAGGAGGATTATGTATAGGTAAAGGGACATATGTAAATGGATCCAAAGCATGTTTGGCAAGGCAGAAAAGCCAAAAGGGAAAGGGGAAAATCACATTATCTGCCAATGTTTAGGGGATACATGCCAAATGTTGCCTTCACTTCCTCCAAATCTGTAGTCGTGTTTGGTCTTCAACTTTTTATGTGAAACTCTCTTTAACTTTAGCCTCTAAAATCTTAAGGGGAGAAGTAGAAAAGCCTTTGAGCGATTTCAGCATAATTATTTCTGTAAAAAAGTATACTTGAGTGAATGGTAGCTTCTTCAGCATACATTTTAAATGGGAACTGGACTTAATTTTTCATTTAAACATTTTTGGGTGGATGTACATAATTTCTACAGATTTTGACTTACAGGAATTACTCCATTCTCAATGCAGATATTTACATCAAAGTAGTAAATTGTATCAGTTAGCTATTGCCACATGATGCTATAAAACAAAAGATTTTAAACTCAGGGATTAAAATCAACAATCATTTATTCCCTTGAATCTTTTTGTCACCTGGGATCTACTGATCTAGGCTTGGTACTAGTCAGGTGGCCATGCTCCAAGTTTCAGGTCCAGTTGGGCATGGCTGGGATAGCTCTGCTTCCTTCTCATGGTACATAGCAGAGGTGCAAAAGAGTAAGTAGAAGTATGTTAGGTTGCTTAAGTCCTGTGCCCAGAATTGGCACTCCATCACCTCTTCTGATGTGTAATTGGCCAAAGTAGGTGACATGACCCAAGGCTGAAGTCAGGGTGTGGGCAAGTGAACTCTGTTCCTTTTAATGGGAGAAACTGTGAAGTTGCTTTGGAAAGAGAGTGAATTCAGAGATGTATAAAGAATCAGGAACAATAATGCAATCTGCCAGATCAATCTCTAGGAGGATCTGAAGCCTCCAGTGGTAACAAGCCCATCATCAATTGCCAGTCAAGACGAAGACCTTCAAGGTGCATGTGGTCATATTCCTATAAAAGTAAGAAAAATATTTTCATAGAGAGCTTATTTAATATATGGCTGGATGCAAAGTATATTGAAGGAGGAAATCACAGATTAAGTTTTTCATTACTAGTGATGTTTGTATTTTTAATACACCATTGCTTCTAACACTATCATCTGAGCATGAATTTTAACACCTGATTTGCAATGTGTAAATAATGTTAAGAATAACATATATCAAGAAGTTACTCCATTTACTTTTATTCTTTTATAAGAAAGCTATAAAATATCAAGTGTTTTAAAATTATATCTGTATTTTTTTCATGAAGATCTCTGAATTTGAATAATAGCAACAGAAAAACAAAAACAAAGCAAAACAACAAAGTTGAACTTTGAAAGAAAAATAAGCCACTCAATTACAAATTTAGTTGGTTTTTTAGTTAAAAGGATTCGTACCCCTTTTTTTCAAGAGGAAATATTGTACTGTGGACCCCAAACCTACTTAGCTTCTTCAACTGTAAGCCTTAGCTTGATGGGCCAGTTGTCTTTGCAGGTGGAGTTGAATAACAATTCAACATTAATAGAGTCACATTGTTGGCCTCTTCTCTCCACAGATTGATGCTCTGCCAGAAATTGTGGAGGCAGTGGAAGGAAAGGTGGAAGTCTTTCTAGATGGGGGTGTGCGGAAAGGCACTGATGTCTTGAAAGCTCTGGCTCTGGGTGCCAAGGCTGTGTTTGTGGGGAGACCCATCATATGGGGCTTAGCTCTCCAGGTAATTGGACAAAGAAATAAATATATAAAACAGAATGATTCAACAGTGAAATAAATGAATGGATCAAGTCAGACTGACTGACACAATAGTTCTGTATCTTTTACTTGGATAGGGGGAGAAAGGTGTCCAAGATGTCCTTGAGATACTGAAGGAAGAATTCCATTTGGCCATGGCTCTGAGTGGTAAGACCCATCATTCTCCTGTGTGACTTTTTTTGTGTGTGCTCTAGTTTTTAAGCCAGGCTTGTTGGTGGAGATAAGTGAATTTAAGAGGAAAGAGCATGGGATCATCTTGTGCATATTAAATTTTACGTTAACTTCATATTTGCAGCTCCAGCACCGAGCTTTCTCTGAACTGAGGAACTCTACAACATGCACAGTCTAGAGCAGTCACTTAGCCTCTGTCTTTGACAGTCTTATTGGGAGTTTTGGTGGGTATGAGTACCTACGGGTGGATGTTACATTGTGTTCTTCCTCATCTCATAACACATGAACACATAAATCTAGCTGGCCAGTCAACATCTCCACTTGGTTTTCTAAGTGGCATCTCAAACCTTACCTGCCCTAAACTAAGCTGCTAACTTTCTCCATTAAAACTGCTCCACCTGCATTCTCTCCAGTCTCAGTTCATGTTAATACCATTGTTTTAGCTGCTTAGGACAAAAATCTTGAGTCATTCTTGACTCTTCTTTTCTCTCACAACCTCATGTACATAGGGACACTGTCTGCAAAATACAATCAGAATCTGACCTCACTCACCACCTCTATTGCCACCACCCTAGTCAGAGTCATCATCATATCTCTTCCTGTGCATATTGCAAGTCTGTCCCTCTGTCCTTACCCACCTTCCCTCTCCAGTCTATTCTGATCATGCAGCCAGGATGATCCTATTAAAAGTTAGTTCAGGGCCGAGTTAGTTTGGATCCTATATGGGGATGGCCGGTTTGCTCACTGGTTGAGTGCGGTGCGGCCGGTCACCAAAAAGACAAAAAAAAAAAAAAAGTTTGTTCACATCATGTTACTCTTCTGATCAGAATCCTCCGATGGTTCTTGATTTACTCAAAATAAACACCAAAGTCCTTACAATGGAGTATCAGGCTGATCCCTGTGACCTTTCTTTCTTTTCTTTTTTCTTTTTTTGGCAGCTGGCAAGTACAGGAATCTGAACCATTGACCTTGGTGTTATCAGCACCACACTCTTCCCAAGTGATCTAACTAGCAGCCCTCTGTGACATTTCTGATCACAAATCCTGCTTCTGTCACCCTTACTTATTCCATCCAGACCACATTTGGCTCCTTGATGTTCTGTGACAATGTTAGACATGTTTCAGTCATGGGGCTTTTGCATTGGCTGCTCCCTCTGTTGGGATGCTCTTCCCCCAGATGTCTACATGGATAACTTTCTTTCTTCCTTCAAGCTTTCACGTAAATCATACTTTCTCAAAGGGGCCCATCCCAACCACTCTATTTAAAGTAGCAATCTATTCTCCACCCATCCATTCAACTTCCAGTTTTATTTCCGTGTTCTTATTTCCTTCTTTTTCCATAGCACCTATCACCTTCTATATATCATATCCCTTGTAATTTATTTTTTAGCTATAAGTGTCATGTATTATCTGTTTCCCCTCTGGGATATAAAAAGGGTGAAGCAGAAAGCTATTTTGTCTTCACTGTGGTATTTCCAGTGCCTAGAGAGTGCCTGGCACATAAATGATAAATATCTGTCAAATGAATAAACAAATAAATGCTATTATTACTAGTGACTGTTTTGTATTTTCCTCAAAATAAAACCCTAGCTGTAAAGAATGGCCTTGAGTTAATAATCAACTACTCCATTTCTGAAGGTAAAGAGAGTTTCATTTTCTGTGATCTATATGATCCAGATTGTCTGCAACTATGGAACTCCTGAGATACAAGGTCTACTCACTACTGTGTTAAGCCTGTGCAGACAAAACTGCAATGAGAAGAATGCCATTCTGTGAATCCTCACTACACATTTTAATTTGCTACAGACATATCCTAAAAGAGAGCTTTCAGCCACTGACTCTCTATTAAATATGGCAGAAAGAATATACTCTTTGTGTTAATAAAAATATGTGCCAGTCATTTTGTGTTAAGGACTGTTTAGGTAATAAAAATGGTCTCATGCCACATAAGATTTGGCAAGCCTACCTTGAATCATAAACCTTACATTTGTCAAGTTTTACATTCCTTGGGAAAACGATTACCTGCCTGATTATTATTGCATTCATTTCATATTAAATGTATGCATTATTTTTTCAGGGTGCCAGAATGTGAAAGTCATCGACAAGACATTGGTGAGAAAAAATCCTTTGGCTGTTTCCAAGATCTGACAGTGCACAATATTTTCCCATCTGTATTATTTTTTTTCAGCATGTATTACTTGACAAAGAGACACTGTGCAGAAAGTGACCACAGCCTGTAATTCCCCACTTCGATACAAAGGGTGTCGTTCTTCTCAACAAAATAGCAATCCCTTTCAGTTCATTGCTTTTGACTTTTCAATCGGTGTCCCAGGAACCTTTTAGAAAGAAATGGACTTGCATCCTGGAAATATATCAACTGTTAAAAAGAAAACATTGAAAATGTGCTTAGAAAACGTCATCCCCTGGCAGGCTAAAGGGCTGGAAAAGAAAAGATATCCTTTGGTAAATTGGAGGTAGTGACCAGGTAAAAAGGTAATAATCTCACTGTTTATTAACCTACATTGTGTTTAGATATCCTTAAAACAAGGTTTCTTGAGTTGTAAGCTCATGTTCAAAATGTGGGAAGTGCCTGAAGAAACAGGAGAAACAGAAACAGATTCACAACATTGAGAAGGTAGCACTGAAATAGAAGTGCAATGGGTGCCGGTAATTTGTCATCTTCTAGGTACTTTTTAATACCCAGAGCTACGCTACTTCTTTGAATGTAGATTTCTAATCACATCTTTAGTGTCTGAATATATCTGAATGTTTTCTGATGTATATTACTTCATACTCAGAATGAAATAAAACACTTTTTGAAAAGAATATACGTATCTGGTCCATTTGTAACAATGTGGAATTCAGGCGTTTAATCTCTGAACTTTAATCATGTCTCCATTTCCTTTATGCATACACCACTAATTCTCCTCTATCCCCTTGTTCCTCCTCTTTACTTTTTTGCTTCTTTCCCATTTATAGTCACATACAGGGCCAGCTACATAATGTGTGAGGATCATGCTAAATGAAAATGTGGGCCCTTTATTCAATAAAAAGGAAAATGGCTTTTTTCTTTCTCCCGTAGTTTTTCTCTTAACCTGTAATAGTGTCTTTTTTTTTCCTTTTTGTCTTTTTTCGTGACCGGCAACGGATCGCAACCCTCAGTGTCGCGCCCGTACCCGACCGGGACTGGCAACAGGATCGCAACCCTTGGTGTTGCGCCCGCACCTCGCTCAGCCAGTGAGCGGCCGGTCTGTATGTGGGATCCGAACCCTCGGCGGAAGCGCCGCCGCGCTCCCAAGCGGGGCACTGTAGCAGTGCGCCACCGGGCTGGCCCATGTAATAGTGTCTTTTATTTGCTATTTAATGTCACCCTTCCTTGGGGCCCGGGGATACCCACAGGGCAAGTGTAAACCCTCCCATGCAACTTGCCTTACTTAACCCTTCCTTCGTCCATGTCCACGACCCCACCAGGGGTGGAGGGCAGCCATTACTGGGCAGGGCAGTAGAGCCAGCAGCCAAGAAACCCCTCAGGGGACTTGAGAAGGTGGTAGGAAATAGAATAATGTAGGATGCTAGGTGTATTAGTTTGTTTTCTGTTACCTATAACAGAATGACTGAAACTGGGTAATTTATAAAGAAATGGAATTTATTTCTTAAGTTTTGGAGGCTGGAAGGTCCAAGGTCCAGAGGCACATCTGGTGAGAGCCTTCTTCTGGGTGGGAACTCTCCACAGGGTCCCATGGTGATGCAGGCAATCACATGGTGAGAATGGCATAAGCTCTTTCATCTGCACTCCTTATAAAGGCATCAGAACCACACCTATGACAACCTATTAAACTATCAACCCATTATTCCATGAATGGATTAATCTATTCACGAGGACATGGTCCTCATGATCCAGATTCCACTCAGAGGCCCCATCTTTCAAATACCATAATCACATCTCCCACCCTCTTAACGCCCTTACAGGGGAGATCAAGTTACCAATACACGAACTTTTGGGGGACAGATTTGACCCATAGCACTAGGCTCCAAGGCTCCCCACCCCTGCACATTCCATTGTCTCATTGAACTTCACTTACAAAACACAAAGTCAAAGATAAAATTATTGAGGATTTCAAACCAACAACCACACAGCATCAAAACTCAAGGATGAGACCCCTTCTGAGCGTGGAGTCCTGTGGACTATGCTGGTGGCATGCCCGTGAAAACAAGCATTCGAAAAATGGAAGGTAAACTTTGTAGCCAAAGTATTTTTGGAGCTGATTTTCAACATCTCCCTAGTTGTTCAACCACTGTGAGGTATTGAATGAAAAAAAATTAAGAGAATCACTACCTTAAAGTATGATTGTTATACTAGGTTTTTTCATTCTTATTATTATGTTTTATTATTCTTATATCTCTCACTCTCCCTGTCTCTAAATGCTAAGGCATTTCTAAATACTAACATGGATGAATAAATTTTTTTCCTGAAATTATATCCAAGTCTGATAAAAATAAATCACCTAATCTGATGAAAATAAATAGTTACCCCTTGACTTTTTCCCCAAATTCAAAGGGGGGATATTATTGTCATATCATGTATTTTATGCTTTTCCAATTAATATTAGTCAATGAATAGGTATATATAACTCCTTGATTCCCCTGACTGAATCAGAAATGCCTTTGCTGACAGCACAGCATGTCCATTCTGGCTACGTCATAGTATGCGGTCACGTGGTAGCTTGCTGAAAAGCTAAATTCCCAGAAAATGGAAATCTACAAATGATGTTTTATGTAAGTTTTATGCAAATTGCCACAAGAATGGGTACTAGCAGTCTTAATTTGTGAATTTCTCATCCTTTTTACTATCTCCTGCGCCATGCTATCTCCTTGAATGTCCGTTTCCATCTATTTTTTTGTAGTTGGAATATACCTGAATGCATTATATCTGTTATTTTTCCTACAATCAGAAAGATATACAGTTGTCATGTTTACTTTTTTAAAGAGTGACTTGAATCCAGTTGTGACTCGAATCCAGTTGTGACAAGTATCTGATGTTTGAAACAAGAATGAAGTGTGTTGGTTGCACATCTCTTTTGCAACAGGTTTTGTTACTTAAACTTGTAGAAGTTCTTTGAGGAAGCTGCTGACTTCTCTGTTCCTGAGTTTCTTGAAATATGTTCGGGGAGGAGGTAATAGGGAATGGTTGGTTTAGTATAGGCTGAATCTGGGTCTCTTGTATATTGTTTAATGTACATAGTGATCTAGAGCAGTGTTTCTCAAACTTTAAGAGTATCTCAGTATCACCTAGAGAGCTTGTTAAAACATACTGCTGCCCCACCTCATAGACTCTGATTCAGCCAGCTGAATGAGCCAGCTGTTGGGTGTGGACTATAGGTAGAAGCCATGCCCCACCTTAAAAGACCAGGTGCTCCTCAGTCAATTGATTTTTTTGTTTAATTTTATTTCTTATTGAGTTAAAAATACATGCAGTGAAGTGTGTAAGTGCTCAAACCTAAGTGTATAGGTAGATAAATTGTATACATACACCCAAATGACCACCACCTAGATCAAGATATAGAGCATTTCCGTTATCCTTCAAAATGCTTTCTCCACCAGAAGTAAATCTGTCCTGACTTTTATTACCATTCATTGGTTTTGACTAGTTTTGAACTTCATATAAGTGGATCCACATAGTATTTGCATTGGTATTTGATTTCTTTTGCTCATTATAT